TGGGAATGAGGATTTTACAGTATCCTTCCCCTGGAGTGGGGTGGGAATGAGGATTTTGCAGTATCCTTCTCCTGCCACGCCCATCAAGCCACACCCACAGAACCGGTAGTAAAAAAAATTGAATTCCACAACTGATCCATTCCCCTCCCCCCCTTCCACCCAATAGTGACATTTACCCAAATGCAAAGACATCTGAATTCTTGGAGAAAGGTAATTTGTCTTCTTCCGTTTCCGGTGACAGCTGGTGGATGATCTCCGGTGCCAAGTGGCACAGCCAGCCATTTTGGATGCGCAGTTTGTTCTCTCTCCTGCAGGACAAGAGAAGAGCCAATTAGTAGAGCCTCCGCTTGCCTTCGGCTCTGTCACGTCTGAATCAAACACAAAGAAATTGTATTGATTTCTCTCGCTGTTCCTCCAGAACCCGTGCTGAGCCGGCTGCTTTCTCGTTCCACCGCACCCCCACTTCTTCAGCGACACTTGGACTTACGAGAATGGAAACTTCAGAGTTTTGCCCATTCGGGAACCTGCTGCTATTGTGACCCGATTGAATGAAAATGAGCTCATGAAAGCAATTGGAGTTTCTTGGAGATCTGAATTGGCAAAAGGAAGATAAGGCTTTGGCTTCTCACCATCTTACCATCCTCGGTCACTGAAAGTGACTCTTCCCTTGGTGAAGCATCTACTCCTAATGATTGGAATTAAGGTATTGACCATAGTCTACAGAGGCTTAAAGGTAAAGGTTCCCCTCGCACATAGGTGCTAGTCGTTCCCGAATCTAGGGGGCGGTGCTCAACTCCGTCTCAAAACCGAAGAGCCAGTGCTGTCCGAAGACGTCTCCGTGGTCATGTGGCATGACTCAATGCCGAAGGCGCACGGAACGCTGTTCCCTTCCCGCCAAAGGTGGTTCCTATTTTTCTACTTGCGTTTTTTACTTTCCAACTGGCAGAAGCTGGGACAGGTAACAGGAGCTCACTCCGTCACGCAGCAGTAGGGATTTGAACTGCCGAACTGCCAACCTTTCTGATTGACAAGCTCAGCGTCTTAGCCCCTGAGCCACCGCGTCCCATTACAAAGGCTTAAGATCCAAGAATTTCAACACCCTTCGCATGAATCCCATCTGATGCATTACAATCAAGAAAGAAACAACATGCCATCCCATACAACAACAAAACTCTTCGCTATAGTTTTATTCAGCAGCAGAACTGGTCAAATGAGGGTCGGGGGCTGGAAAAAATGTCCCTCTAAGTCTTGGCTACTGTCCTTAGGTGGAACTCAGATCATCATCAAACAGATGTGTCAGCTTTAGAAGAGGGCTCTCCAAAGTTGGCAAATGGAAGACTTGGGGACTTCAACTCCCAGAATTCCTCGGCCAGCGATTCCAGCTAGGGAATTCTGGGAGTTGAAGGCCACAAGTCTCCAAGTTGTCTGGAGAACCCCGACTTGGAACATGGAGGCCAACCCCGTGAGAAGGCATTTCAGGCCTTAGTTTCTGGTATCTCTGGCCATGCCAGTTGGTGGCTTCCATTAGACCAGTGTTTCTCAACCTTGGCAACTTGAAGATGTCTGGACTTCAACTCCCAGAATTCCCCAGCCAGCATTCGCTGGCTGGGGAATTCTGGGACTTGAAGTCCAGACATCTTCAAGTTGCCAAGGTTGAGAAACACTGCATTAGACCTTACTTGAGTCACATCCTTCTGGTGTTCCACCTTAAAGATCAAATGTCAGCATTGTTCCACCTGAGTCCCATTGTGGCAGCCAATGAGGCCTTCAACTGCGAGTGGCCGTTAAATGGATCGCCAAGATCGGTTGAAAAGCCCTGCTGCCTGATTTGTCATCTGGTTTACTGTTTCTGAGTCTCGCCTGCTTGTGAGGGGAGGAAGGAGGAAAAAGGAGGCCAGCCGTGCGGCTCACATTTGCAGGCAGGCAGACCTCTGAATGTTTTCGTGCCAGAGATCATTGACTTCCACAACATTAGATTTCTTTTGCTCTTTTAGATGTTGGGTTGCTTCCTTCAAATCTCCATTTCTCCCGTCTGTCCTCTCCTCCCATCCCTTCTCTTCTTTCCTCCCTTCCCCCTTCCCTCTATCCTCTCCTCCCTTTCTCCCCTCCTCTCATCCATTCTCTCCTCTCTTCTCTCCGTTCTCTCCTTTCCTCCTTTCCCCCTCTTCTTCCCCTTCCCCCTTCCCTCTATCCTCTCCTCCCTTTCTCCTCTATCCATTCTCTCCTCTCTTCTCTTCTCTCCTCTCCTCTCCTTCTCTCCTTTCCTCCCTTCCCCCTTTCCCCTCCACTTCCCCATACCTCCCCCTTTCCTCTATCCTCTCCTCCCTTTCTCCTCTCTTTTCCTCCCTTCTTCCTCTCCTCTTCCCCTCCCCCTTCCCTCTATCCTCTCCTCCCTTCTGTCTCTCATTCATTCTCTCCTCTCCTCCCTCTCTCCTCTTCTCTCATCCCTTCTCTCCTTTCCTCCCTTTCCCCTCCTCTCTTCCCCTCCCCCTTCCCTTTATTCACTCTTTTCCTCTCATCCCTTCTCTCCCCTCCCTTCTTTCCCCCCTCCCTCTCTCCTCTTCTCTCATCCCTTCTCTCCTTTCCTCCCTTCTCTCTCCTCTTCTGCTCCTTCTTCCTTCTATCCTCTCCTCCCTTCCTTCTCTCATCTCCTCCTCTCCTCTCTCCTCTCATCCCTTCTCTCCTTTCCTCCCTTCCCCCTGTCCTATCTTCCACCTTCCCTTTATTCACTCTATTCCTCTCATCCCCTTTCCCTTCTTTCCTCTCTTCCCCTCCCTCTCTCCTCTCCTTTCCTCTCATCCCTTCTCTCCCCTCTGGAAATTACACTTCTAGATCACATTACACACCTGGAAAGGGAGAAGGATGGATGGATGGATGGATGGATGGATGGAAGGAAGGAAGGAAGGAAGGAAGGAAGGAAGGAAGGAAGGAAGGAAGGAAAAGCATCAGAAATGACCCAAAATTTGGACCACAGCACTCTCTTACTGATTTAGATTTGAACTGGGTGGATCCTGGAACATTTTGTATCTAGATCAGCACAGACCAAGATCCACCAGAATAAGATCAGATTCCATCTTCATACTTTCCTTAGATCAGTCCCTTCCCACATCCTGTTCCTAAACAACCTCTCTGAGCTTATCGCAAGAAGGGGGGGGGGACCATGAATGGGTCCTTTTGTGAACTCCCCAAATCTGTAAAAAAAAAATATCCATAGATTTTTCCAGAAAATGTTGATCAACATATGCAAGCAGATGCTTTGCGGAAAGAGAAACGTTCACACCGGTTCCTCACCCCCCGGAAGAAATGAGTAGAAAAGGCAGAAATGAAAGTAGAGAATGAGCCAGCATACCCAAGTCCCCGTGGGGCGGGGGGGGGGAGGAAACCAAGCTAATCAAAGAGGAGAGAAAGAAGCAAAATGAATCTACACAAAACTGTGTTAAAGGTTTGTGGCCAGATGCGTTTCAGACCACCTGCTGTGCTTCAATAGGCCCAATTCAAAATCTTGATGAGGAAACCACCTTCATTGGCGCATCTCGGTTTCTGGGCCCCTGAAAACTAACCTACTTCGTGGGACTGAAGAGAGAGAGAGAGAGATGGAGTTAGACAGCTGTTCTGAATCTTTGGAAGAAAAGGAGGATGAAGGCGAAGTAAATAATTATGGTTTGGGGCTGGATGAATCTCTGGGGTAGGGTGGGAAGGCTCCCTCCTCCCCAGAATAAAATACTCCACAGAATAGTAGAAGAGGCAGAGTAGAATATTTTCCCCTAAAGGAGAAGAGGAGGCAAGAACTCCTCAACAAAGGAGTTGAAAGTCTTTGTGCTAGAGGAAAACACCCTCAAGGCTTAGAAGGCTTTGTGAATGGGAATATTTGGTAAAGCCAGGCTGTTCTATTCATAAACAAAGGGCAGTCAGAAACTCCCAATAAGCAGCACAAAAGGCAAGGAGCCGAAACTGACAAGATTAGCCCAGACAAACAAAAGGCCTAGGACTGTGATGGTGAACCTATGGCACCAGAGTGGCACCCGGAGCTATGTCGCCTGGTATGTGTGGCATTGCCCAGTCCTCTTCTGGGTTTCTGGTGCACATGCGCATGTGATGATCAGCTGGCCTTTGTGCGTGCGGTAGTGTCGGAAACCGGAAGGGCTGGTCTTTCATTTTTGGACACAAGCATGCGCGCCGGCCAGATGATCGGGTGCAGTTGTAACTTTGAATGGTCACTTAATGAACTGTTGTAAGTCGAGGACTACCTGAAAAAAACTGTCCTTGCTTTTTAATTCTTCTACCACTAATCTCTACCTCACCTAGCAAATCTTGCTTTTCAGTCATCCTGCCAAAAAGATCCCTGCTGTGGACCGCCAGTGGAGCTGGCAGCAGATTCGGACAGTGAGGAGGTTGGGGAGGAACCTGGGCCAGTCCTGGAGTCTGGGGAAGGCTCTGAGGAGGGCTCTGTGTCGGAGGCAGAGAGGGGGCCAGGGCCATATGCCAGTTATCAGCTGCCTTCAGAGTCAGACATCAGTGGGGCAGACGAACAGCTGGAGCCTGTTCCCAGTGTGCGCATGCGCAGAGTTGCCAGATGAAGGGAACAACTAAAGAACAGGGGTCGACTTGGGAGTAAAGCCACAGGTGGACGGTGAATGGCCCCTCCTATAGGGAATAAAGAGGAGCGAAAAGGGAGTGGAGTTTGCAGGAGGCCATTAGTTCAATTCATTCGGGTGAAGATCTGTGCCTGACTCCTTGCCAAGGAATTGCTGCTACAGCGTGGTGTTTTGAAGATATCGGCCTGGCAGTTCTCCAAGCCTGAGAAAGGTCTGTAGTTGTGAAATCTCATGAAAGACTGTTTTCCGGGACTTTGCTGGAGAGGAATTCCCTTTAACCTCAATAAAAGAGGTTTTATTGGGATGAGCAGTCGGCTTCCTGCGTTTGGGAAGCCTAGGTCAGAATAGATCCGAAACGCCACAACTAATTGGCGCCTCTGCTTCTTGGGGGGAGGGGGGGAGGAAACCAGCAATTTTCTCTCTGGAGTAAGAACAAATAAACAGAAAGATGCCATTTGATTGGACTCAGGCAGAGGCCGAGAATCACAATGCACAAATCACACAGGGGGTTCCTGCCTTCTGTAGCCTGTGCTGTGCCTGACTCATCAGAGGGGTAGCGTAGGGTGGGAGTGGGCAGGGGAGGGGGAAGGCAGATGTTTGCAGATTTGCGCTCTGCAAGTGATACTTCTCCCTCCCTCCCTGAGTCATGACAGCAATAGCACCTGGACTTAAAGACTGCTTCACAGTGCTTTACGGCCCTCTCTAAGCAGTTTACAGAGTCAGCCTCTTGCCCCCAATGATCTGGGTCCTCATTTTACCCATCTCGGAAGGACGAAAGGCTGAGTCAACCTTGAGCCGGTCAGAATCGAACAGTTGGCACTGTGCAGTCAACAGAATTAGCCTGCAGTGCTGCATTCTAACCACTGCACCACCATGATGCCCATTTGCCAGGTTAAGTTGAAGGACCAACCTCACCCGACAGAAGGGCCACCCTGGGTAGACCTGGAAATTGACTGTTTGAAATTCAATGTTTTCTCAGCAGAAGGAGATACTGACTCTGAGTCAGCGTGGCTAAAACCAAGTGTATGGAAAGCAACCAGCTAGAAGAAGACAATGCCAGCTACTGCAGGTGAAATCCCTCCCGCCCTTTCTACACCCTTCCTCTCCATCTTCCTTCCT